ATTTTACACTTGAGTACGGATTAAAAATGACATTTGAAAGATTTGGAGTAATATTTTGATATTCGAATAAATATATCGAATATACTTAGAAAATCTTTTTGGAAAATCTTAAAATTCATTTAACTTAATTTGTTATATCGAAATATAAAAATGTTTTCAATAATGGGGAATCTTATGGTAACCATAATATGTGGATGAGAAAGCTTTACAACCAAAATACCTTCCTCAAACCTGTGTTGAAGTTGGAACTTGCTTCCTTATATCCTCAACCTCAAATGAGATCAACAATGGTGTTAGGGGCTTATGATAGTTACACCCCTCAATTACTGAGATGATTTGTTCTGCTACCTATAAACCAAATATAAGAATACTTAGCTAGATGATAAAATCAGTGTTTGGTAACTGAGAAAATAAAAGAAACCAAAAAGTGAGAATTTTCGTTGTAATTGATTTAGAACAAAAACAATTCTCTAGCATTTAATGGTGACTTAGAAGGTGTCACAAGTTTCGATCTATAAGCATAAGCATAATCATGAATCTTCCAATATCGGAATGATGGAAGCGAATCCCCACTCCAACAACTAGCAGGATCATAATGGGGGAGACACTTTAAGGCAGATTCAACTCGGTCTGTAGGTTTTCTTTCTTCATCCACAATGACTACAGAAGGTTCTGCTTCTGTTTGTTATCATACAAACAGTCAGCTAGGTGTGAAAGTTCACAAAATAGTGATATGTATGAAAGCCAATTGGTATGTTTCTTGCTTGGTTACTCATTTCTTATTCTCAGAGTTATCAAAATAAACCAACAAGTTACCATTAAAAGCATGTCAATGGCAATTTTGGAGCTCCCAATTTCAGATTTTGTTACTATCAAATTACTATTTCCAAATTACTCATCATGTCAAATTAATGTCCATAGCTTAGACATTGAAACATGGTACACTTGTCATCAAAGCATAGAAGTTTCTTCTAAAATCACAATGAAACAGATAACAAAACAGTGAAAAAAAATGGTAATGAAATAAACCTTGATGAGGGAATTCAGGTTTAAACATGGGTTTTTCTAGAAACTCAGTTTTCTGCAACATCTGCAAAAACCAAACATGAAAATCACCATTAAAATTTTCTGGATAATAGAATCGTATTTTAAACTGAGTAACAAATATATAGCCAAAACAAAGAGGAAACTTACAAAACAAACAAGAAGAATAAGAAGAAGAGGGTCGATTTGTCTGTTTAAAGTTGTAAATGCAACTAAACAAAAAACCAAAGAAAATAAATTGTACTGGTATTAGCGAACAAGAGAGTGAGATCATTGTGAGGACGAGGCAGAGGGAGAGACAGTGGCGCGGTGGAAGAGATGGAGATTGTCGACATCGGAGGCGAAAATGGGCGGCAGAGGCTAGGGATTCAAACTCGGGTCTAACAAGAAGAAGAGAATCGGGATGAAAAGCAGGAGAGAAAATGAGAGAATGAAAGGAGTGGAAAACATTGGCGTTAACTGATTATCGAGGGGGGAAAAAGCGAAAAAATGAAAATTATGGGGGAAATTAAAAGACGACTTTTAGAGATGACACACAATTAAAAAGTGTACTCCGTGTTTTTGTAAATTTTTTGGATTATGACTATTAAATATGACACACATTATTGTAAGTCATAAATCGTTCAGATTTTAAAAACATGACATTTTTTATGACACACATTTTTTGCAAGTCATAAATTAGCGTGTGTCATCGTTCGTGTGTCATTAAAGGTATATTTTCTTGTAGTGATAGTGTCATTTGGTAATCACAATACATACATTAAGAAACATGCATCTATGACTATCATAACACATAAGTACATAATAAATGCACTTATCTGGCATGCCCTGTTATTATATCCAAAACACAAAGTTGACTACTCGACGACTTTGTCTTTGCCTTTCGTTTTGCTTGACTTGAGAGCTTCATTTTGATATACTCAAATATCCATTAAAGACACATACCATACCAATTGTTAGTATATTCCCTAACATTTATACTTTAACAATACTCGAAAGTACTACTATTACATTTTCTATAACAATCTCAACCTATCTTAAAATTCCTGGCTCACTAGTATCGGTACCCCTATCATGGTATCGATACTTCTACATTGTGGTACTGATACTCCCTTTCGATATCGATACCATTTCTACATTCTGGAGTCAATGGTATCGATACCTTCCTTATAGTATCGATACCCACATCAGTATCGATACTGTTCATCTGATTTCTTCCAAATTTAAGCCTATAGTATCGGTATTGTTCTTCTAGTACTGATACCTTTACCTAGATTTTCTATTTTTAGCCCGAATTTTACCCAAATTTGGTCAATTTCCCTTATTTTTACCTCCAACAATACTATCAAACTCATATTTACTTATCCCTACTAACTTTCCTTCATTTAACTTCTTATAACCTCTACAATCTCCAAAGAACATTTCAATCCAAGAATCATATCACTTTTTCTAACATGTTTTTAAACTCATCCAATGCTTCTAATCTCTTATTTACTTCTTTGTTAAGTCAAATATACTAGTAAACATAAATAAAAACACATATCTTAACATATTATTCAAAAACCCATTTCTTTAAATCTCACATATTTCATCCATCTCTTAGTTTTAATCTTATTTAACCTTTCCTTAAGCCTCTATAATACTCAATGATTCAAAAACCAACCAAAAATGAAAGGAAAAGCTAGTCAAATGAAACCTTACCTTTGGCTATGGAGGAGAGCTTTTACACGGGATAAAAGAAGAAGAAATAGCTTTTGTGACTTAACTTTCCTCTTTTCCCCTATTAAAAATCCCTAATAAATGAATAAATGATAAACGACGGGTGTTTCATTCTTCTTCCGGATAAAGTTCGAACGACAAAATATGAACATTATTGAGGTGTATCATTTCTTCTCGGGAAGTTATTTTTCAATATTTATTCCGAAAGTGCAAATTTTTCTCAAATTTGTTCCCCTATTTATAACTCCAATCCCAACGACTATAAAAACCTAGTTTTTTCAAAAATTAGACCGAACTTGTTACTTCGAGGTGACGAGTTCCATCTTGACCGGTGTTAATTGACCGTTATTGTTGTCCGTTGCCCAACGACTATAAACGACTAATTTTTTTAATTCAAAGGAATTAATCACCTTGAGGTGACAAGTTCTGTTATTTTAAAAAAAATATTTTTAAATGGACTCCTCACCTCGGGGAGACGAGTCCCATTAATTACATTGAAATAATGGCACACATGGGGCCAACTCATCTAGGTCTAATAAAATAATGTATCCCAGGGGGTGACGAGTTCCAACTCCACTATAGGATTTTCCGTATTCTCCAAAATAAAAACTCAGGTGCCCTAATGGGATAAATAAAAAAAAAACTTGGATGGCCCAATGGACCAAAAAGACACATTTCTATTACATTAAGTGCAAATTGAAAAGGACCCTCACAAAAACCTCCAAGTTACTTTTATTTTTGCCTAATAAGGCAGCCCAGATTTTTTTTTTTTTGTAAAATAAGCACATACACTTTTTTTTTTGGATCTACGACATTTTATACAATGCATGAATTCGTCATGTTGAGGTGACGAGTTTCAATAAAAAAATATTTTTTATTTAAACTTTTTACCTCGATGTGATAAATTTTCATAAAAATATATATTTTATTGGAACTCGTAACCTCGAGATGAAGAGTTTAAATAAAAAAATATTTTTTATTGGAACTCGTCACCTTTACATGACGAGTTCTATTAATACTGTAGAAAATATCGTAGATCCTAAAATAAACTTCTATTTATCTATTTTCCCAAATAATAAAAAACCCCACTTAGATCCCTAAGCCCATGACTATTTCTTCTATGACTAGTTCTTTTTTACCGTCTTTGTTCCAATTATACATTCCAAAGCGTTAAGGGAAGACGGTTGGTGTCTCGCCGGCATTACAAGACGAGCTGAGCTTGTTTCTCATTTTCATGTTGGTCCTATGGGGCACTGCCCACAATTAAATATAGTTTCAAATATCTAATACGCTCCCAATACGAGTACAAAAAAGATACAGTTTAAATACGTACAGAGGGCGTTTCATATCAAATGGATACGACTAGAATTAATTGGGTATGTTAAAGACATTTTTAGAACATATCAGCGACAACATTTGATCTTCACGTGTGGACCCAGAGTTAGCTTTGAGATTTAATTTTATAAAATAATAATAAAAATATGATTATGAATAAAAAAATAGGTTGATTTTGAAGCATGGAATATCAGTTGATTTATGACTTTTTTTTAATAAGATCCAGTATTTTCTAAATTAAAATGTCTTGTTAGGTATAAACAATTTTCTAATTACCTTTCTACATATCTTAAACACCTCAATCGAACGATATCAAAATGTGTCTTATATAGTAAAGAGAGTCCATATAGAAAATTGAATATCTATCTAATATGTGATTTTAGAAATTGATTTACTAACTTTAATGAATATTTATACCTTTTTTATATTTTTTTAGAATTATAAAATTTATTTATATTTATTGTACTCTCGTGCACAAACTTACTTCAATGATTAAAAGAATAATTATTTCTAAAACTCATGGGCACGAACACCAGTAACTACAGCAAGATAATTGAATATTCATTGTCAAATAATTTAGAGTATTTAAAACAAATATTACTTTATCAGCACCTTAACATCAAAATAATATTTATTATACCCTCGTAATCGTGTCGGTAGGTAGTGAATATAGCCCCATGTTTATTCACGAAAATACCTATTTATCCATCAAATGAGACAATTTCTAGACCAAATTAAAAGGCTTTTCAGACTCATTCAAAAACTGAGTTGCAACAATGAAATATGCAGCTCCATCAGGTTTTTGAAAGTCATGGATGGACCCTTCCCATATGTAGTGAAAAGAATCACTGTGATCACCTCAATCAAAGATGCATTTTCATGTGGACGCGAGCTCTTGCATGTGTTAAAAGTTTAAATTCTTTCAAATGTTAAAACAAGTGTAATTAATTTACACAATATCTATTGAAAATAAAGGCACAAAGTGGGGGTCGAGAATTTTTCCTTATACCCCACACGTTTTCCCAAGTTTTAAATTATGTACAATGCATACCCCCCTTCTTTTTTCTAGGAAGTTGTAGGGCATGATATGTTGCCTTAGGGGTTTTTCCAGCAATTTCATCGTCATCCGAGGCGGCATATTCGTCTTCGCTTAGCTCTTCGTCTTCGCTTAGCTCTTCGTCGCTGGACTTCTCTTCAGTGGCTGCTCCAATGTCTTCTGGCTTGGCATATTTCTCACAATACTCTACCAAATAAAAAAAACAGAAAAAAACTAGACATTCAAAGGAGGAAAAGGAATGCATGTTGCCTCAGAAGTAAAATTGCTTATCGAACTCGGAAAAACGACGACTGCAATTCAGGTAAGCACTTCTGCATCTTGTCGAAGATGATTAAAGCGATTTGTTGAACTTTTTAGTAGGTGAAATGGAATGGCCTCAACAAATAGGTCAAGTGTGTCTATTGCCAGCTACCATTCATCTACTTTGACTGAAAATGGCCTATTATTAAAACATCATCTTCCCTTTCCGACTAGAAACAAACAATTCCAAAACCTAGACAAGTCTACAACCCATGTGAAAAGAGTATCCAAACTGCAAATAAAGGACTGCTAATGACAATAGATAACAAGCAGAAAATGAATATATGTATGTATATATTTTATCAATATAATTAATATATATTACGGATGCAGGATTTTATGAGGTGAACTTTTAAAATTTTAGGGTGGGGAAAACTTATAAAATTATAGGGGGCGAAAATAAACTATTTTTTAAAAATACAAAGAAAATATCTAAAATATATGCTAATTTGAAATTTTCAGGGCAGTCCGCTCCCCCTTGGTCCATCCCTGCATATATACAGATATATTTTATGTGTATAAAAGTCTATTTCATAATCCAAACTATTTAGATGATTGATCAAATTATCATTTAAAACACTAAATTATTTGGTTTAAAAGATTAACTTGTCAAAAGCTATAAATTAGAGGGTAAAACTGTCCAAAAACCAACATTCCACTTGGAATGTAACATTATCAAAGAATAGGAGGTATTGAGATTACCCCTTGTATTCCTAATCCTAAACAGAGTCAAATATTGGGAATCTTACATTACCACAGCCAGGTAATATTGCCAAACCAAGCAAGGTAATATCTCTTTCGAACGTTATATTAACGAGGGGAATGTAGCATTACCGAGTCAAATGTACTCTTTATGTCATCTATTTCGTTAATGAAACTGCAAACAAGGAATTCTTCCTAACAAATGGAAGATGTGTTTCGCAAAGCAAACAAAAATTATCTTTAGAATTCCAACTACCCGAGTCGCATTGTGCACTGCATCTGCATCCCTCCAAGCTTGTAGAAGATGAAGTAAAAAATTCACAGGGTCCAAAAAGATTATTCTACTTGATTTGAATGTGACTATTCTAAACTGAAATTGCAGGCAATTTGAAAACACCAAATCGAAACAGGACTTGCTTGCAGTTATAGAGAGGATGTGATGATAAAAGCAAATGATCCACATCCATTCATTCAAATGGTATGAGCAGGAATAAAAAGGGAAATTGGCTAAAAGAACATATTACCGAAAGTTGTGAACGCAGTAGACTGAGCAATTTAAAGCTTGAGAAAATACAAAATTGTGATCTCTAGTCATTTAGAAACTAAAACTTGAACTAGTTTAGACTAAAATGAAGTTCAAGATTGGTTTTGCCTAAATTAGGCTAACAATAAATTTGAAGATCGTTAACAGCTCAATAAAATGGCCATTAGCCAACTGAGTACAATTAAAACAGAGGTGATCCAACAAAACTATTGTAAGCTGTCTCAGTTGCACTTAATTGGCTTCACAAAAGCAAGAAACCCAAGCAAATGCCTTAACTTTAGAGCCAAACATTCTTATGAAAAAGGAATACATAAACACAATACAAAAGCTTAAGCAGGTATGTTACCTTTCACTCTTTGTTCGTAGGATGTACGGTCACGCATCATTAGGGCAGCAGCTTCTCCATTCAATGGATCTGAAGGATTGGGATACAAAAGAAGTTGATGAAGGAACACTTCAAGCACATTCACCAGATCTGAAATCAACACAAGGACAAAAAACTACTTAAATCAATTGTCAGGTTCCGAGAGTAGCAATTGCACCAACTCCCAAACAGGAAAGACTGAAATGAAGAAAACCAAAGAAAATTTCGAGGTTTACCAAACATGGGGCTCCAAGTTTGATTAATGACATCCAAACAGACAGACCCAGACCTGATAAATTAATTTGATGACAATGGAGCATTTAAAAAGGTCAAAACCAGTTACTCATTCTAAAATACCTGATATAAATTAATATTACCACCAAGACAAAGCTCAAAAAATCAAATATAGAACTTACTAACATTTTATAAGGATAAGCATCTGGGAGCTCCACCCTTATCTTCCAAACACCACCGTGATAAGGACCTGTCACATTCAATAAGATAATCAACCGTGACGGATCCAAAAATATTTTTCAAGGTAAATACATATATATTAATAATAGAAAATTTTTGTACAAAAAAAATTCAGGATGGTATCATCAATAAAATGAACAACTATCATAAAAAAAAATTCCGGATTTTAGAGTAAACACTTGCCCCTCCGGAATCAGTGAGGGAAAATGGAAAATCATTCTTATTTGGTTATAGTCTAAAATACCCAGAAGCAGAATCCATCAACAAACCTCATCCTTATCCAGAAAATTCAATGAACCAAATACAAAGTGGCAGCTCATAAAAGAACGCATAATTAAAATTACGCTAAGATTAATTAGCCTACAAGTGTAAAGAAGTTGATAGATGTTAATCTTCAAAATCAAAATCATCAAAAGAGAAATACCAATAAAAAAAATCAACTGGTCAAACATATTTCCAAGGGGGTGAGAAAAAAAAACACAGTAAGGAAAAATATAAAAGAAATTAAACTTTCAGCAGAAACACAGAGAAAATCATATAAATAAAAAAAAGGAAGGGCAAACAAGAGATATTTACTATCTTTTGGTCTATTGAATTCAACATAAAATTCTTGCATGCCATCATTGATCATCTCTACCTTATAATCACTCATCATCCTATCAAAAAAATTAAATATAGAAGTAAATAACTTCTGCTGAAGATTATAATTTGAAAAGAAAAAGGGAAAAGTATACAGTTTCATCACGTCCATCTCTCGGCGTTTGCTTAGAGAAGACATTTTCTTTTCGTTTGGGATACTTGAAAGAAAGGAAACCGTAAGAGAGAAGATAAGAAATGAGATTTCACAAAGAAACGCCACACCCAAAAGTGGTTCTGGCATCAAGGAATGAATCCACCACTTTATATACACGTGTTTATCAACGCCGTAATCATGTGGGTTAATATAAAAAAAATAAGTTTTTAAAGAATGTTTCGAAAAATATTTTTAATGTTTAAAAATTATTATTAAAAAAGTAAATGTTTAAAATTTTTCTGTTATATATTTAGGTATCTATCGTTAAGTAACATATGTCACGTTTAGATTTTTTTTTTTTAAATAATTTTTAAAAGTAATTTTTAAAAAATCTATACGTAATACGTATCAATTAACGATTTTTTTAATATAAGCACATAAATATAACAGAGAAAATTTTAGATACTTATTTTTAGTAAAAAAATTATTTAGACACCAAAAGTTAATTTTGAGTATAGTTTAAACACTTATTTTTTATATTAAGCCTAATCATTTTCTCATGCGTAAACTATAAATTTAGCACTCCAGTTATCACTTTTCTTCTATTTTAATCATCTAACTATTTTTTTAAATCATATTTATTGTTATGTTTTAATTTTATGTTGGTCACCTTTATTTAAAATTAACATAATTATTGATGTGATATTTTATAAAGAATTTCAATAATGATATGAGATTACCTTATGATGATATGTTTGCATAATTGTTAAAGTTTTAACTGTGGATGCTCAAAATAAAATCAAAACGTAATGTTAGTTATAATTTTGAAACAAAATAACTAGATGACTAAAATGGAACAAAAATAATAATTCATGTACTAAACGTATAATTTACTCTTTTCTTCATTTTCTATCACATAAAAATTTTAAAAACAAAATGAAAAAGAAAATCAATTCGAATCCTAATGTTTTGATTTTATAAAATTTTGATTGTGGTTGTATTATTTCTTAATACATTTAATTATATTTGATAACGGCTAGTTGCAATTATATTATTCAAATTAAACAGATTTATTTATTATTTAAAATTTAATTTAATTGTAAAATATATTATTAAACATGTGTATTTAAAATATTAAAAATATAACTTTTTTGTATAATAGAGTTTAGGTAAGGGGTAGCTCCCTCAATCCAAGGTTAGGACATACCTAAAACTCAATTGGGATTTACATAAGAATTTACAGATTTCACACTAAGAGTGACGGTAATAGTATTCGAACTTGACCTTATAATCTCAAATTCCTAAATCTCAACCACTTATACAAACACTCCTTACAAAACTAGAAACTTTATGAAAAACATTAAAGATGTTTAAATTAAAAAGTTTGTGTTATTATCATTATCTTTTACCCTTAACTTATACATAACACGGTATGGCTGCAAAAGGATTGGAGAAAGATGTGGACCTGCCTTTAAAATAATATAGTCATATAAATTTGTTTGATGTGATTATAGAACCAGTAATTTAATAACTTGGAAAATTCACTTTATAGTAAGGTTTTTCCCTAGGTTCTTTTTCTCTCTCACTTGAGCCGCTTTTTCTTTATATTTTTATTTGGTGGATGGTGATATTAATTTTAGAGTTGATTGTTATTTGTCAGATTTATTATTTTTTAGTTTTATTACATATTTATTTTTCTTTTAATTTTTAGTTTTTAATATTTATGTCTTTATAGTATGTTTTATTTACTTTTTATGATATGTTTTTTTATATTTTGACATGTTTTTTGTCATTTGGTCATTTTTTTGTTTTTATATTTTTTTCAGGGTTGAATTTGACGATACTCGACTGATCAAGATGATGCTTATTTATTACCCTGATAATATTCTCTGTTTTAGACTCTCGAATTAGATTAAGATACATGATTTCATTCGTAGATAATTTCTCAAGTAACTCAACTTTAATATGTGATTTATCGGTTTGGGAATATTAAACCTACCAATGAATTCTATTGGATCCGAGAAGAAATTACTTTTATCCGCGTCCACAGAACAGAAGGTCATATACAATGATGAGACCACAACTAAATTTAGATGCCTTGAAAACTCCGATTAAAGCAATGGATCTTAGACCAATATGTTTCTCTGAAACATTGAAGAAATCAGAATCCCACGTAATAATCCCAACAGAATTTCCTTGAAGGTTGGGTAATTCTGTTGTGCGGCGCTTAAAAAATGATTAATATACGACGTAATCGATTAAATAAGTGATTGGTTAAAATTTAGATCGTTATGTTATATTATTTAACCGAAAATATTATCAAGTACAATAACATATTAGGTAACGCTTATATAATGTAATAGATAGCGCTTATATAATAAAATATGTATTTAACCGGAAATATTATCAAGTACAATAACATATTAGGTAGCGTTTATATAATGTAATATGTAGCGCTTATATTGACCTATTTTATAAGTAAATCGGTATATTTATACCGGTAATATTGCAAATTTACCTATTATATTATAATTATCGGTTTCGATATTTTTTGGATCGATACTTTTTATAAATGTATCGACACTATATGCGTTCGCCTTTTGTCATTTATAGACCAGTTTTATCATATTTTTACATGTTATATTATTATGGATCGATACATTTTTATAAAATATCGACACTTTATTGGCGCTATAACTTCTTCTCTTATTAATTTCAAAAGTGTCGATACTTATAATAAATTATCGACACTTTCAACATATCCGGTAGCGCTTTACCTGTTTTGTCATTTCGAGACCGGTTTTGTCATATTTTTACCTGTTATATTGTTATGGATCGATACATTTTTATAAAGTATCGACACTTTATTGGCGTTATAACTTCTTCTCTTTTATATTCCAAAAGTGTCGATACTTATAATAAATTATCGATACTTTCAACATAACTGGTAGCGCTTTAACTGTTTTGTCATTTCGAGACCGGTTTTGTCATATTATTACATGTTATATTGTTATGGATTGATACATTTTTATAAAGTATCGACACTTTATTGACGCTATAATTTCTTCTCTTTTAAATTCCAAAAGTATCGATACTTATAATAAATTATCGACACTTTCAACATAACCGGTAGCGCTTTACCTGTTTTGTCATTTCGAGACCGGTTTTGTCATATTTTTACATGTTATATTGTTATGGATCGATATATTTTTATAAAGTATCGACACATTATTGGCGCTATAACTTCTTCTCTTATTAATTCCAAAAGTCGATACTTATAATAAATTATCGACACTTTCAACATAACCGGTAGCGCTTTACCTGTTTTGTCATTTCGAGACCGGTTTTGTCATATTTTTACATGTTATATTGTTATGGATCGATACATTTTTATAAAGTATCGACACTTTATTGGCGCTATAACTCTTCTCTTTTAAATTACAAAAGTGTCGATACGTATAATAAATTATCGACACTTTCAACATAACCGGTAGCGCTTTACCTGTTTTGTCATTTCGAGACCGGTTTTGTCATATTTTTACCTGTTATATTGTTATGAATCGATACATTTTTATAAAGTATCGACACTTTATTGACGATATAACTTCTTCTCTTTTAAAAAAGGTAAAATTTACCTGATATGTTGAAAGTGTCCATACTTTTTATAAAAATGATCCATACTTTTTTTAAAGTTATGTAATTTATGTTTCAATTTTTTTTAATAGTGTTTCATGTTTTCCACCAACAATATTAATTTAATAATTTCATTTACACAAAAAATTATTTGATTGTTTTGATATTTTATAAAATATTATTTAGAATTTAAATTTAACAATATGTTTAGGTAGAAAATGTATTGATACATATTTAGGTAGTTATTGTACATACCTAAATATGTACTGCGAATTTAATGTTGTACCCACCCTTTAACTACCATTACCAATACCACATCCTATTGAAAGCAGCACGACTGAAACATGTTCAAAATGAACCTTTGCTTACATCTCCATCAACTCTGGGACCACTGAACTTGCACAACAAAATTTTTGCCATGGATCATACTGATGTAGACAATGTTAAGCCAACCGAGGAATGTCATGAAGTACATAATGTTGATGAATCTGACAGATTGGTTGGTCAGCTCTTCTATTCACGTGATCAAGCTTGGTACTTTTACAAGGGATTCGCACGGGAACATGGGTTTAGTGTACGTAAGGGAACAACACGGCTTGACGTGGAAGGGAATGTGAAGACACAAGAATTTTGTTGTTCCAAAGAAGGGTTTCGAGGATCGAAAGTCAATATTGTTGATTGTCAACGTGCTCATACGCCAATCACAAGAACAGGATGTAAGGCTAGAGTTTTAGTTACAGCAACAAATACAAACGATCAGTGGGTTATAAGTAAGTCTGATCAGAAACATAATCATGCATTGTGCACACCTGCTATGACACCATTTATGCGTTCTAATAGAGCTGTAAGTAAGGCTGATATCGATGAGGCAACAACATTGAAAGAGGTCGGTGTTAGCACGTCAAAAGTAATGAACTATTTAACGCAATAGGCAGGGGGCTATCATAATGTTGGATTTACACATAAAGACCTCTACAATACACTTCAAAGAGGTAAAGCAAAGGAAATCGTCGATGGGGATGTGTCACCCGTTGGACAAAGAAAGATACCGACAAGGTATAATAGAACTCTGGCCTTCAGCTCATCCCCCGTAAGATCCACTTTTTATTTCCTCTTCAATTTCAGCATATGTCACCTTCTGCTTCAAACCATATTTGGAGGCAAGTGCTTTCCAGTCCTTAGTCTTACAGACTTCTACAACACTTTTGCCTTCATTTTCTACCCCTAATACGGCTGCAGCACATGGGATCCCGAGAGGAAATGAAAAATCACCATACTTAGCAATACATTGTCTGACATCAAATTGCGCCATCAAGGATCGACACAATTCCCTCTGAATAGGTCGATCCCTTACTCCTACCAACGATCCAAAACCTATTTCTCCCAGCACATTCAACTGACCATTCTCCTTAAGGTGTTTAATTAATGAATTCACCCTTTTAATGCTGCATCTTGTCGACACTTCCTACATTTTTTAACAATATA